ATCCTTAAAGCGGGCCTTACTCCTACATATAACTCTGGTCAGTAACCGTTCTAAAATTTATATATTAAAAATAGGTAAAACTAGGTTGTTACTAAGTTGTTACTAGGTTGTTGCTAGGTTGTTGCTAGGTTGTTACTAGGCTGTCACTAGGTTGTCACTAGGTTTTCACTAGGTTGTCACTAGGTTTTCACTAGGTTTTCACTAGGTTGTCACTAGGTTTTCACTAGACTGTTACTAGGTTGTCACTAGGTTGTCACTAGGTTGGCACTAGGTTGTTACTAGGTTGTCACTGGGTTTTTATTATACCTAAAACCTAATACCATGTGATTATATATACCTAGGTATTATATAACTTGTCTGATACACTTTTAACCAGATATATATTGCTAAAATTACATATCAAATATTCGCATTTACGTAGTAATTAGCTATTACGCATACGTACGTAAAAGTACTTTAAAATTTCCGCTTACTAAATTACTAAAATACACTATAAGTGTTAAACATAAAGTTGTTAATGTGTATGTGTTTGACATTTTCTAATCGTTTAACCATTTAATTTAGCCAGCATTAAAATAATTCTGACCCATGATCAACATAATTTGGCCGGAACTATGAACCAATTTTTAAATAGTTACATAAATGATATCGATTCTTAGGTTGGGTAATTCAATTTTTATCGTATAAGCGCGAAATAACTCCTATATGCGCGTTAACAGTTGACCTATGTATCATCTCTAATACTCCAATGTGCATTATTTCAAGTAAGAGGTGAGTTTGAATGATTGACGAGCATACCCGTGGTATATTCCAGACTATCTAGCTAGCCATTATCGCAAGGTACAATCATTAGTCATATGGGAATGCGCATTAATTCGAGGACATGTATGCTATTTTTGAAGAAAATCATTAGTCATATGGGAATGCGCGTTAATTCGAGGTCATGTATGCTATTTTTGAAGAAAATTATTTTTAAAATAACGCCCATGAGCATTATTTCAATATGATAACCTCACTTTATTAAATTAGATTTTGGGTTACTAGAAGTTATTTTAAGTTTATAAATTTATTTAATTAAATCAATTGGATTTAAAATAGTAATTACCGTATTTTTGCGAAATAACAGGCTAGAGCATAGTGTTCCTTAAAATAGTATGTATGGTCTCATACGCGTCCCTAAATAACGCGCACCTATATACGTTCACTTGTATTGGCTGGGAATGGTAAAAAAAAAAAAAAAAAAACGGGATAAACCATACATAAAACAGGTGATGATTAAGGCTAAAGAGTTAAATCTTTATTTAAAAATATTCGGATCATAATTATCACCAGCTTTTAATTATGCAATAAAAAACATTTGCCATCCTTAGTATGGGCGTTATTTTATAGATCAACTTATCAGAAAAATCTGCTTTAGTTTCAAGATAATACTCATGCACGTACTCTAAATAACGCGTATATACTAAAGTAACGTGTAGGTGGGCCTAATGTTGTTCAAAAAAAAATTAAAAAGACGAAATGGCGAAACTGATGAAATGTGGCGAAACTGACGAAAGGTGACGAAACTGTTAAAAGGTGACGAAACTGATAAAAATGTTAAAACTAATAAATAGGTGATGAAACTGATGAAAGTTTAAGAAACTAACAAAGAGTAAAAAGATAAAGAAATTGGTATAATCAATAATTTTATTTTTTAAATATTATTTCATATTTGTACAATCATCAAAATTTCATTTGTTTTTTATTTTTGTATTATCTTAATTTAAAATTTATAATTGTATAAAATAAAGGTTTAGTTTTATTAAAATCTTTACAAATAACCTGCCTACTATGGAACATCTTAATATATGCTATTCTTATCTCTATACAACAACATGTTCTCGATATACAAACCTCAAAAACACACTTCATCTCTTCCTCTGTGCAAGCAATAATATTAATATAAACCAAGCAATTCTCAATACAATCCAATTAACACTTACTTTACTTCAAATATCTAACAGTCTAGCATTCTTCATTTTTAATATTATTTTAAACTTTATAGCTAATCACACTAATCCTAATTACCAATCTATCTTATATGTCACTTTCTTTATAACTATTTACAATAATATTAAAATTTTTTTAAACAAACAAACAAACATCTTTTTAATTAATTTAGCCAACAATCTTTTCACTTGGTACTATCAAGACCTATGGTTTATATACAACATATCTCAACATCAATAGAAACTTGCTCGAAACATAACTATTAAAACTAAATGCAGTCAGAGATTTTACCAAAAATGAATATTGAAGATTGTACCTTTTATAGTATAAGGATGTCAATCAGAAGGTTCTAGATTTCATAGCACATGAACATCAACCAATCAAATTAATTAAAAACTTATATATGAGTAAATATGTTTTATTATCAACGAACCTATTAACGAAGCTTCACCTTTTATTAATAAATATTTTAAATAACAATTTATTTTAGTTAATTAATATCTCCTTTATTAATTACATATTATAATATTCGATTTATACTATTAAACAATATCACCCATATACACAGTATTGTTTAAAAACATAACCCATATTAGATATATTGTTTGGTAATTTAAATCTTTCTTGAATGTCTTGAATATTTTCTTTCATAAGTTATATTGGTACCTATAAAGTTGCAACTAAATTAAACTATAAAGGTTAAATATAAATAGCACTTTAAATCTTCATTTAAATATAAAGATAAACTTTTAAGATCGTCTTAACTAATGACAATTTTTAACTTTCTATATGAAGTAAATATCTAACTTTAACATCTCATTTATTTTAACCAAGAAAGGTTACCATAAGAGATTTTTTGAGATGATTAAAACTAGATGTCTCGAACTACGTATTCAAAGCTTTTTCGGTTTTACTAACTATTGAAAAAAAAAATTTTCAAAATATATAACATTTGTGAAAGAAAAACTATATGAGAGCCAATCACATCCAAGAATACCCTTGTAGATCATTCTAGAATGTGATTTCCTTATTTGGTAAAATCTTTGACTGAAATGTACAAAAATTCACTTCTCAACAATATCTTCTTCTACTAACAATCTCCTAAGAACTACACAAATTTCTAATACTATAGTAACAATTAACAAATAGCTCTTACAAGGTTTTATTCTAATCACATGCTTTATATAATATCTTGACTCTCATCTAAGGTTTCCTCCAACCTATCCTAACTAGAAAATAATTTGAAACAATTATTTATAGCACTTATTAAGAAATAGGAGATGTAATATCACATTGGGTATCTATTATTTTAGCAACACAAATATAGTTTAGAAATCTTTATTTTAGAAATTTTTTTTGTAATTAAATTTCTTATTGTATTTTAAAGTTTCTACTATGATATTATATAAATAAAAAAAAAAATAAATAAAATAAACCAAGATATAATTTATTTAAATGCTTAGGTCAATAGAAGCTTCTTTATAATTACATCTAAAATTAAATTAAAATAAACATTCATAATGTTACTATTGTAAATTAGGAGAGTGGAGAACATTGCACAGTTTAGCTTCAATAGTTAACATAGTTAGAATGTGATGACATCTCACTTAACCAGATAAGATTCAAGCATTAATAATAGTTGGGAATAAAGAAAAAGCAGATCATTGTTTTATGTTACTTTATCAAAAAATACATTAACTTCTTTTTTTTTATTAAATAAAACAGCCTGTGCTTTTATACATTTTATAATCTTAAGAGGCTTGTTCTATTAGAAGCTTCATGCTATCACTTGAGCCTTACACAATCTTATATAGACTAAAACTCTAACAATAATAATTATTTATTTTAAATATTTGTATTAATAAATATTCATTTTACTCATATGTTAAATTAATACTTATAGTATAATATTAAATAGTAATTATTTATAACCTGAATATAATTTATTTTTAATACTTAGATAAGTAAAAGCTACTTTAGAGATAAATCTAAATAAAATTAAATAGTAAATACAAATGAATAATTTATTCTAAATACTTGAATTAAAAAATATTTGATCTACATATGTGCTAAATTAATATTAATAAAATGTCTGCATCTTTAGTAAATTAATTAAAAACTATAAATGATACAAATAATTCTGGAGTTTATTAAATGAATTTATTAGTCATTTTAGCTACTATAATTTTTGTTAAATTTTTATAAAAATTAGCTCATTGTAGTAAAATTTAATAAAGTATAGTAGTCTAATAAAGTTTTAACTTAATATGTCATAATAATTTCATATTTATAATGATATGAATTCAAGAAAACTATTACAGTATAAAAAGAATTAGAAATTTTGATTATTATTTTTTATCACTTCATAATGGCAAAAAAAAGAAATTATTTAACTTTCAGCATGAAGGAATTCTTTATAGTTATGAGCATAAAGATTCATTATCAACTATTGCTAAAAATATCAAGTGTAATAAAACTACTATGCATGATACTCTAAAATGATATACTGAAACAGGTTCTACGGTACCAAAAAAATGTTCAGGTTCAAAACCTATCTTCAATGAAGCTGCCTTAGAAGAACTCAAACAAATTGTTACACAATATGCTATGCATCATTGTCTAACTATTCATGAAATTCAAGCTTTATGACAAAGAAAAAAAAATCAGAAGGTTTCTATTTTAACACTTTATCATGCTTTAAAAAAATGTAGTCTCATTCTTATATTGCATGTCACAAGCTATTAATTTCTGCAAACAATAAGGTAAAATGTTAAGCCTGGGCAAAAGATCATCTAAACTGGTCAACTCATTAATGGCAAAATATAGTCTGGTCAGATGAATCAGTTTTCAAACAGTTTTTACAAAATTACAATACACAGGTTTGACATATCTTAACTGAAAAGTTTAATAAATCATGTCTTATTCCTACTGTAAAACACAGTCCTAGTCATATGTTTTGGGAATGTTTTTCATAACATGAGCTAGGACTAATAATTCCTATCCATGATAGAATGAATGATGAAACTTATGTTAAGCTTTTAAGAAGGCATGCAATTTCTGTTGTATGTTAATTAGTTTCTAATGAGCAAGGCATCTTTCAACAAGATAACACATCTGCTTACACATGTTCTAAAGTTAAAAATGTTTTTAGAAATGCTAATATTTTTGTATTACCATGGCCTACTCAAAGCCCAGATATGAATTCAATTGAAAATATATGACAAGAGGTTGAAAGACATTTGTATAATTTTTCAAACAATCTTACAAGTATTCAAGACCTGGAAGAAAAAGTTAAAGCTGCTTGGTATTCAATTCCACCTTTATATTATCGCAAAATAGTTAATAGTATGCTCTGTCGAGTAAAAGCATATGATGATGTTGATGGTGGCTTAACTAAATATTAATACCGATATTATAAATTTTGCTATGCTGTGTATGCTACATATAATTATTAAATAAAATATTAAAAAAAAAAAATTTGCATATAATGATAATGAATATATAGAATCTTCTATTTATTAATAAATTATTATCAATAGCTTATTCTAAATACAGTATATAAATAATTTAAGTTATTTATGTATTATCTTATAAAACCTTTTATTTGAATATTTCTAATATTCAATATATTTCTCTATTTCTTTTGCAGAGAATATTAGATAATGAGAGATTTAAATTATATTGGATTAATTATGAGTTCACAAATATCTAAGAACTGGAAAAAGGAGGATTTACAACTGTATATTTAGTATATTTATTTGATACAATTAATAGTATATTGAGATATATTGCTTTTAAAGTTATTCATAATTCAAACAAATTTATCCAAGTATTAAAAAATTATTATGAAATTGATTATAAAAATCTTTCATTCTTTGAATTGTTCAAAAATGTCAAGAAACAATTATAGTAATTATATTGTTGTTATAGATCTTAAGCCAAGTGGTTCATTATTAATTGAAGGATTAAAATAAACTACTGTATTTGTAAATATCTATTATTTAATTTATTTTAGACTATGAAGTATTTAAAATAAATTATATTCAGATTTATATTAATATGTAAATATGAAGAATTTATTTTAGACTGTAAAATATTTAAAATAAATTATATTCAGGTTTATAATAACTATTTAATTTTATTTTAAATTGCAAATATTAAGAAGCTATTATTTACATATGTACAGTATATAAAATTTATAGTAATTTTAGTTAAGTAATTGCTATTATAGCTTATCAGATAATTTTAGCTTGGATTATGAAGAATTCTTATTTTTAAAGTTGTTCAATAAACTACAATAGTAGTAATATAGCAAAAATTAATAGCATTAAGGCTATTTTAACACAATTAAAAAATATTTATTTATTTTTTTATTTATTTTACTGTATATTATTCTTATAAGCAATTCTGAGTTAAAATAGTCTGATACTATTAATTTTAACTATATGGTTACTATTAAAGCTTATCAAATAACTTTAATTTAGATAAAGATAAAATTTTATAAGAAGTGAAATAAATAAATAAGAGAATTCTATTTTTAATAAAGCTTAAAATACTCTATAAGCTAATAATAATAGTTGTATAGTTAAAATTAATAGTATTACCAGTTAATAGGAAAGTATATTGTATAGTTTATTTTAAACCATTTTAATTAATTTATTTTATTTAAATTAACTATACTTCGTGCTAACTACAATAGCATTATTATCTTAAGAAATTTAAACAATAGTAGAGTTTTTGAATTAAGTATAATACAAAAAAAAAGATAAATGGTCATAGCTTGAATTTTGCTTAAATTAATCTATTACTGCGCATTAATTAAAGTTTTTCTTTGATATCTTTTGGTATTATTATGATATTTAAAACCTAATTTAAGGGTAGGATGTAACATTTTAAATTTATATATAAACTTAATAGTATATTTTTTTGTAATCTTAATTACGATAATTTTTATTAATTAAATATTTTTTGAGCTTATAAGTAAAGTTGTAAAGTAGGTTCTTGTAATTCTAAAAATAGTAAAATCATTAAAATTGGTTTAAAACTCATCGAAATATAAATTTTTAAAGATTAGATATAAAAATTTATTAT